GTCTGGGAACAGATTTCAACAGTAACCATTAACTCACACAGGATAGTGACTGGCAGGTTCGGAAGATGTGAGGTTAAGTGTAAGCACATGCTATGACATCACTGTACCATCACATGCCAGCAAGGCTAACACATGCTACATTAAAAATATAAATCAGCTCTCCTTTAAAACTAATGGAGTAAATAAGATTAGGTGCTTCCTGAGATGGCTGTTTCTGAAAAACAATTTCATCATTTTATGGTGTTGCAACATGGGAAAACACATTCCATGTTGGGAAGAGGAACATGTTGTTTTTCTGGTAGGCTGTGTGCAGTTTTAACACTACACTAAAAAAAACTGTGCACAGCCCACAACTCTCCTGATCTCTGATTCTTATAGTTTCTCTGCAGAAAGTATTGCCGTCAAACTTTCCACGCTTACGGGGAAAAAGCTGCGTTTATGATTTTAACAGCTGATCTGCTGCTCCTGAGGTATTAGAGAGGGGAAGAAAAGAGCAAACTATAACTAAAGAGAGAGAAAAAGAAGTTGAAGGGAAAAAACTGATTTTAGAGATTAAAAGTAAGTTAGAATTCTAAAAACAAAGGGTAGAAGAAAAGGAAGATGAAAAAGAAGAAAAGGAGGGCAGAGGTGAGTCTGAATGCACGACAGAAGGACTGAGTCAGTCATTCCTCCTTGTCTGTGCCAATGGAAAAAACAGAAAATTTTAGACATTAGTGCCCGCGTCTCACTCTGCATCTTCACGTGGAGGATCAGATCACTGACCCATTTAACTGAGCAAATGAACTAATATTAATACAGCATAATATTTGTCATCTCTACAAAAATCATGCAAACTTCAGTGTCTCTTAATCGCTATTAATCTGAGAACACAGCAAAGTTTACTACCAATTAGCAGAAGTGAATTGTCTAATTCCAGCAGTTTCAGATGCATGAGATTATATCCATATTTAATTCACATACTCATTTACATACTGCAGAACTGCATAATTTTTCCATGGAAATAAATCTATTATTAAAAAGAGAGATTTTGTTGTTTGAGCTTTCTTTTGCATCTTATTAAACATCTAAAACTGCATTTCATCCATATTTAAGCTTAAACTGATGAAGGTCTGAAAGATTCAGCAGAGTTTCAGCAGATGCAAAGCATCTGTAATACTACTTAAACAAATACATCATCTCTCGTCTATGGCCTGGAGAGGGGAGCAATACCCAGCTGTTTTCCATAAGGAATATAACCGAATTTCTTTCTTTTTCATTTTTTTAGTACAGTATTCAAAACAACAGCACCTGTAACAACAGCAAAAGTGCAGGGCTGTTGTCTGAGGGATTATTAAACCCTGGCAATTCCTGGAAAAGTCATAATATACCTAATGTAATGAATTTAGTTCATTAGTTCAGAATTCCTGGGGGGAAAAAATGGAGGGGAAAAATGATTGGGAAAAAATTTTGTACATGTCACAAAAAATGTCACACTTCTGTATGGTAAAAGCATATTAATAAATATTGTATTAAAGGTAAACCAAAAGTCTGAAGAGTAACCACAGTTTCACATGCATGTGGCATCTGTGATTTAACCTTTTGTGTGACCTTTATCTTTGATCACGCGACTCTCACATGAGGAGACTGTTATCGTCTTTGAAAACTGTGGTGGAATCTGCAGAGCTGAATTTTTTCCATACTATCCTTGGGTATATCTCTCAACCATCTCAGAAATGTGAAGGAGTTTGAGAGTAAGGAATGAAGGGATATGACTAGAGACAGTTATTAAAATGTCTTAAATCCTCGCTCTGATCTTGTTTTCTTTATTTTAGGCCATTAAGATTTCCTGGCTTGCATCTATAACAGAGATGCCAAAACGTCCTGAAAAACAGTCAGTGGTTCTCTCCCACTCACAGTTATGTGTCTAACAGACATGTAGGCCTATTTCTGGAGCAGACATTAGGATGCCTCTGGGTGTATAAACAACCTGATATATCTACTAATATATCAACTTATTAGCACCATTTTTCAGTCAAAGGAAATACAAAAGAAAAACATGAACCTAAAGATGCAGGACAGACACCACAAAACTAGACTTGACCACTTTAATAACTAACCCTCTCTAGCTAAATAGGAGTCCTGGAGCCTCTGACTCACTCCTGTTTTGTTTTAACCTGCTATTTAGGGGTCTGAAAAGACACAGCTCTTCTCATCTGTATTCAGCAGTGAATTATGAGGTACATGAATGCAGTTCATGAAGGAAATCCTGATACGCGGAAACATCTGAGTGCATCTGTCTCCAACAATGCAGGCTTGACACACAGACAGTGGAAAGACGCACACACACACACACAATACTGTAAAAACAGTGGATGTTGTGTTACCTCTGGTCTGACTTCTTTGTCACTGGTCCCGCTTTGCACCAGAAATACGCTGGCGAGGGCGAGTAACGACTGGAGTTTCGCAAACATTCCTCAATGCGCGAGACTACTGAACTCGGGACACAAAAATGCTCTAGGCACCGTTCGTACAGTTTTCTCGTTTAAGTTTCCCCAGCAGATTTTCCTGATTCAGACCATTCCAACAGTGAAAATGTTTCCTTAAAACTCAAAAAATACAAAAAGAATAAAAACTGACTTAATCATTATTAATGAAAGGTTTTCCAAAAGTAAAACTGGACCCCAAAAAGAGAAAACTATCTTCAGAGGTTAAATATATTTGTCTTAGTTTTGCTCTATATTCTCATCTTGCGTTTTCTTTTGTCCGCTGATCTTTCTCTCGCCACAGGCGGCTTCGGTGTCAGAATGGAGACGTGGTTGTTTTACGTCCGTCCCCGTGCTAATCTGCTTGCACTGCAGAGCATCTAACTGGGTGGAGTTATAGGAGAATCGACCCTGCAGATGTCAGATTTCATTCTATGTCCTATACAAGCATCTACTGTGCGACTATAATCTAATCTGTATCTGTGAGATAATTAAACGATAAATTTATTATTAGTGGGTTTTTTTCAAAAGTTTTAGATACACTCCCAGTTAAATTTAAAAGAGACTTTAGCAGTTAAAACGATTTAAATTAGTTTTGTCTACAAATATAGGCAAAATTGTTTTTGTGCCCGTGTATGAATGTCTTTATACAACTAATGGATAACGTATATACAGTGGTGGCCAAAATTATTAGAACACTAGTATTTTCACCAGCTAAAAAATGGTTTTAAGTCAGTTATTTCTATCTTTTGCTGTAGTGTGTCAGTAGCAAATATCAGTTTATATTTTCAAACATTCATTTTGCAATTAATTGTAATAATCCAGTGAGATTTTTGTTTGCACAAGGAGCCTGACAACAGCCAGTGCTGCACACAGAGATCTGATCTCATCATCATCCAGTCTGTCTGGAATCTGGAATGACATGAAGAAACTGAGACAGACTAAATCCAGAAGAGCTGTGGCAACGTCTCCAAGATGCTTCAAGAAACCTACCTGCAAAGCTACAGTACTGTTAAAAGTTTTTGACACAAAAATACTGTAAAATGAGGATGCTGTCAAAAATAATGTCATAAATAGATTTTCTTTATCAATTAACTTCTATTAACTAAATTAAATCAACATTTGGTGTGATCCTTTACATTTAAAACAGCTTTTGCCCTATAGGTGCACTTGCGCATAGTTTTTCAGGTAGTTTTGCAGGTCAGACAGACTGGATGATGATGAGATCAGATCTCTGTGTGCAGCACTGGCTGTTGTCAGGCTCCTTGTGCAAACAAAAATCTCACTGGATTATTACAATTAATGGCAAAATGAATGTTTGGAAATGTAAACTGATATTTCCTACTGACACACTACAGCAAAAGATAGAAATAACTGACTTAAAACCATTTTTTAGCTGCTGAAAATAGTGTTCTAATAATGTTGGCCACCACTGTACACACACACACACAGTATATATATATATATATATATATAGTATATAGCCTATATATTAAACACAAAAACTTAAAATGCTTCCACAAACACATATAGACCACAATTTTGATCTTACTGGCAAATTGGGACACTTTATTTTAAATAAAACAATAACATTTTATTGTAAATGTAATTCTAAAAGCATGATACCAGTAACTCTCAAAATAATTTAACAAGCATTTTAATAAATATCATCAACAACAACAACAACATATTAATAATAATAATAATAATAATAATAATATATTCAATTGACAATTTCACTGATTTGACCTCTTCCCTGGCTGCTGTCCCTGGCCCATATTCTTACCTTTTCTGTTAGGCTACTATCTTCCCTGCCACTGGATGCAGAAACACTTTAATAATAATTGTTATTCTTGTGAATATTATTTTTTGAATATTATAATGTGTGGAATAAAGTGGCTGCGTTGAAACTTTTTAAATGGTAGTGTACCAGAGGCGGACAGTAGTGAAGTATTTTTACTTTACTCAAGTAAATTTAAAAAGTATCTGTAGTTTATCAGTTGAGTGTTTTTCTTTGGAAAACTTTACTTCACTACATTCCAAAGCATAATGTCATACTTTTTACTGCACTTCATTTCATAAATAAAAGTTGTTGTTTGTTTTACCTTTAATACTTAAGAACATTAAAAATTTAGTACTTTCTTGTACTCAAGTAAATCTTTGAATTCGTTTTACTTGAGTAAAAGTATAACGTAATAGATTTCTAATGTAATTAAGTATTCAATTATATTTAATATGAAACGTAGTGTAGTAAAAAGTACAATATTATGCTTTGGAATGTTAAGTAAAGTTTTCTAAAGAAAAACACTCTGATAAAGTACAGACACCTGTGAAAAGTACTTTTACAGCAGAGTAAAAATACTTCACTACTGTCCGCCTCTGTAGTGTACTTAATACCAATGTTGAGAATAGTAGTGTACTTACATCAACCTATGGCAATGCTGAAAATAAAGCGCTAAATGATGACATCTAGTGTTGAAAGCTGAACATTACAAGCAGAGAGCGGCGTGCATAGCGTCACAGAGACGTAGATGGGTGGCGCATTGTCTCCTACATACGGAAACAGAACTTACGGAAGTGTCTGAGAACGAATGTCAACAAAAGAGAAGGAGAAAAGGTATGTTAAAGACAAAGTTATAAAACAATATTACCCGTGAAACAAAACAATCTCAATTCGAATAGTTTATATCATGGCACCAGCTCTTAATAGTGCCCTATTATGGAGTAAAGTATAGCAGGAAGCCAGCTAGCGTTAGCTAAAATCAGGCGAGCGAGAAAGGCTGGCTAGAAGTCGGAAACCAAACTTTCGGAACAATGCGTCAGTTTAGACGCTGGTCGTCTGGCCTATTACTGTCGAAACGTAAGGAAATGCCCTTAAATATATGTCTTGGCTATATGTATGAAATGTCACTTAATAGTTTGACTGTTTCGTATCTAAACATTGCAGTGCTACTCTGCCTAACGCCGAGTTGCTTCACTGTTGAGAAAAGAGCGAGACAGGAAGTCATCCTTTCTAAAGACGTTTTACGCGATTTTATTAGTCAGTCACCGACTATTTTCATGTCGAATTCATATGTTGACATTTGTCGAGGTAACGCCAATGAGTTTCTGATTGAAACCAAAAGCGAGCATCGCACTGAGCTCCAGTTGTCAGTGATTTTTTTTGTCTAAATGATGGTAGTTCATGGTGTTTATTTTTGTCTTCACAGCTAAACACTTCCAACAAGACGCTTTGGTGACGATGGCGCCTGTAATTGTGGCGAGCTGATGGATCTACCGACCATATTTTTTTCCATAAATTGTATTTTAATTCGTGTTTTATGAGACAACGACAGTCATTGGCTTGTTAGAATGTCTGTTTCCCACAGCCTTTGCGTTTTAGGTGTTTTGTTTTTATCAGGTAAGATATCAGGATTTTGTCCTTGAGTGTGTATCACGCAAAGACGGAACAAATGTCTTATTATACTGTATATATCTGAGGCAGACTTTTCATGTAGTTCAAAAAATTGACCTTGCCTTAACCAAAGGTTACCTATGGTGACTTTAGGGTCAAGCTAGGTTGAAAAAAGGTTGATTGTATTTACGTTGTGATAATTGGCAATAAACAACATTCAGCAATCCTTGTCTTTTATGTGATCAACTTTTGTGTCTTTGCTCTGACAGTTCCTTGCACTTTGGAGCTGGCCTTAGGTGTTGGTAAGTAAGAGCTTGACATGTCTTTGTTTATATTTCAGTGTGAACACTCATTTTAATTCACACCCAATGCCCCAGTTAAAAATACAACATTCCTAACCAGAATAGTCATTGAGAGGAGTGAATGTATTGCATCAAGTATTTAATGCAAATAAAAATACAGAATGCTGCTTCTACTATGCAACTGACCTTTTTTCCCAACGTGACTGACCTTTACTTCCTGCTTGACAGCTTAGGGTTTCTTTCCAGTTCTGTCTTTAGATGTTTTTAATATATTTTAAATGCTCAGTATTTTGTTATATGTTTTAAATGCCTTTCTGCCTGCTTTTCATGTCCGAACTATGTTCTCAAAGAACTCCAGTAAATCAAATAACTTTTTTATTGTGAAGATTTCACATAGAAATGTAGGTTCAGAACACAATTTTAAAGATGTCTTTGCTTTAACTGTCAGTTTCAGGTCATTGTGATCATTCGCCCAAAATACTACAATCCAGACAAGGAGAGATTCGTAACTCTGCCCACCGTGCCTGGTCTTCCCGTCCACTCAACTGCAGTTGGTTGATAACCTCAAAAGTTGGGGAGCGTGTCATCATCAGGTACCAGCAGAATTCTATTGCCATTTTTTGTGATCTTTGATACACCAGAAGTCAAAGCAGTAACACTTTATTCTTTACAGTGTCTTCGTTAAATATGTTACATGTACTTACAGTAATAACAGTAAATTACTCATAATTACAAGCAACTAACAACCCTAAAACAAATCTGGTTACACTTTATTTTAAGGTGTCCTTGTTACAGTGTAATTATAAATTTAAGTACTGAGTAATATAAATTAGCCATATGTACTTACTGTATGGTTAGGATTAGGGTTTGGCGTAGGGTTACTTGCATGTAATTATGCATAATGTATTGAGATTATAATACTAGTAAGTACATGTAACGTGAAACAAGGACACCTTAAAATGAACTGTTACTCCAAATCATCCTAAACTTTTGACTTTATAATAAGTGAATATTACTCAGCATTTAAATATTTAATTACACTGTAACAAGGACACCTTAAAATAAAGTGTAACCATTAAAGCTTTTGTGTTTTGTGATACTGTACAGATATGAATGTAAAATGTGAAAGTCAGCTCAATTATGAGCGTATCTCAGTTTGTAAATAAGTGAATAAATGGCATTTGCAGTTAACAAGGTGAGACATTGCTTTGATCTTTACAAAGTAAACAGTCCCTTAAATGTGTCATTTCCTTTGTGTTCATCTCTTTTGAAGTTTTTCCCAGTTTGAAATGAGATGCGGGCAGGAATGGGTGTCCGTGGTTCCTCTCACTGGCTCTCCATCCAAATTCTGCGGTTCCCAGCTTCCAGCACCATTTGAGATGTCAGGGGGAAACGTTACAGTGACACACCACTTCTTCCCTCATTTCTACCCAGTAACAGGGTTCCATCTTTCATATATTAAAGGTAGAGTGCAACACGTTGAAGGAAAATGTTCACGTTTCCTCTCCTCTCACTGTCTTTATCCAGAGAGACTGTAAAATCCTATTTTTTTGAATAGTTAACTTTTTGGTAAGCGTTTAACAGGGTTCATTCATATTTCTCCAGACTCAGGTCCCTGTTTTCCAGGCGAATTTGAATGTTACAGTGAACGGTGTCTCCCTGCATCGTGGCGCTGTAACGGACGGGTCGAATGCCTTGGCGTGGGTGATGAGCTTGGCTCTGACGAGGACGGATGTAACGACGTTAGCCCTGAACCACCCATAGATGATGTATGTGGGGGATACTTGGATGCATTTTATGGTTCGTTTACTCCCCCTGTACAAACAGGACATCCGGTGGAGTGTGTGTGGACGGTTGACCCCCAGGATTCACGACCACTCAAATTAGAGCTTCAGCAACTGGAGCTGGGTCCTCGAGACATGATCACAATCACAGACCAGCCCCACGGCACAGGCAACATCATTAAAACAGTGAGTTTCACACTTTGTGTGACAGATGATGTAGCTTGATCAATGCAGATTCATCTATCCCAGTCTTTTTGTTTCTTTTAGCTTTCATTCCACTTCAGCCTGTGATAATAAGTCTTGCACCCCCTCTCATTGGCTATTACAGATCAACGCTGTGTCCAATAACAAAGCAGTGGAGGTGGAGTCCCACACCGGCTTGCTTTCGCTGATTTACCATATGGAGCCTTCAATGGAAGGGCGGGGCTTTAATGCGACCTATCGCATCACAGATTACTGCCTTCCATGGGAAGAGCTTTGTGGAGGATCAATGGGAGGCTGTTACACCGCAAAGCAGCGTTGTGATGGACACTGGGACTGTCCTGAAACAGGCCTGGATGAGGAAGCATGCTGGGGCTGCCCGGCTGGGCACTTCCTCTGTGGGATGGTAGGAATTCACCAGACAGGACGAACAGTGTGTTTCTCGATTCATGATCGTTGCAACTACCAGCTTAATTGTGCAGATGGGACTGATGAAAGAGAATGTACCATCTGTCAGCCTGGGACATTTCACTGCGACAGTGACAATATATATATATGGGGCTGTCAGTTTAACGCTTTAACTTAATTAATTAGCTATGAAAAATAACGCAATTAAAATAATTTTAACGCAGTTAACGCACTGGCCCCGCCCCCAGACCTGTACATCATCTTACATTTCATAAAGTTGACTTGACAAATATGATGCAGGGTAACAACTCCATAAATGCAGTTATGCCCTAAAATTCAAGATATTGGGGCAAAAAATGCCCCTGAATGAGTTTTTGTCTTATATTTATATCATATGATAAGCGATATCACAGGAGTGCTGATTTTGTCACGAAGAACACGAGTGCACATGTGATTTTATACAACAGTTCAGTAAATAAGAAGTTAATATTGTGCTATATTTTAAACACAATATTGTGTGTTTTTGTTCAATTTTGCCAACGAAAATATTACCTAAAAAGCCACAGGAGAATTGCTGTGCCTCTCCGAGCAACACAGGGGTGTTTAGTTTCTGAATGAATCCGGAATCGAGTGAATCAATAATTCAAAGGCTTATTCATAAAGAGAGCCGTTTACTTCATTCCCGAATGAATCAGCCGTTTGAACGAATCGACTCATCAAGACATTTACCGCTACCTGCTGGTAGTTTTAGTTTCTTGTTTAGAGTATCATTTTAATTTATTAAAAAAAAGTTTTAAAAAAATGTTCTTAATGTTCTTTAAAAAAACATTAAAGGGATAGTTCACCAAAAATATATTCTTTATAATAAAAATCAAAATAAATAAATTCTGTCATCATTTACTCACCCTCATGTTGTTTTAAACCTGAATAACTTTCTTTTGCACAACATAAAAGAAGGTATTTTGAATACTGTTGGTGACTAAGCTGTTTTGGTCACTAGTGACTTTCATTGCATGAACAAAAAATACTGAGATGTTTCTCAAATTATCTTCTTTTATGTTCCATGTTAGGCCATTGTAGCCTAAACATTTAACACAATAATAGCTTTAAATTATCTTTTGGTGGTATTTTCACAGCCAAATTTAGTTTGCGATTAATTAGATTAATTAATCACAGCACACTGTCATTAATTAGATTAAAAAATTTAATCGACTGACAGCCCTAATATATTTATTTATTTATTTATTTATTTTTAAAATGTCACATGTATATTTTAAAATGTAACTTGTGTGATGGCAAAGCTGAATTTTCAGCATCATTACTCCAGTCTTCAGGGTCACATGATCCTTCAGAATTCATTGTAATATGCTGATTTGTTGCTTAAGAAACATTTCTTATTATTATCAATGTAGAAAACAGCTGTTCTGCTTAATGTTTTTGTGGAAACCATGATTCATTTTTTACAATTCTATAATGAGTAGAAAGTTTAAAAACTGCATTTATTTCAGCATTTGTTTTTTTGTTTGTTTTCGTTTTTTTTTTGTTCCTTGCTAAATAAAAGTATTAATTTCTTTAAAAGAAATATTACTGACCCAAAACTTTTTAATGGTAGTATATATATTTTTTTCCAACCATATGATGGCCTCTGTGTTTAAAATCTCTGCCAATGTTTAATAATTGAAACAGGTGTGTGTTTGAGAGCTGGCGCTGTGATGGACAGGTGGACTGTAAGGACGGCACAGATGAGCTTAACTGCACTGTGACCCTGCCCCGAAAAGTCATAACCGCAGCTACCGTTGGAAGCCTAGTTTGTACGCAATATCGCGTTCATAATCGAATGCGACTCATCTGCGATTATGAATGCGATATTGTAGTGATCTACAGCTCTGTGTGTTAAATGCTGCTCCATCTGAAAGCATGTGATGGAGATTTACTATTAATCACAGAACCGGCTTTACTGACGAGATGCACATGACAATCACATGCGATTTATCGTGCAGCCCTAAGTTTGTTTGTTGATCACAAAGTACAAAATAGATGAGGAAAATTAGGATGCCGGGTGTATTCAAAGCACCGCCATTACTGTTTACAGTGCGTGGAATGGTGCGTTGTGATTGGTTGAGCGGATATATCGCATTCTGCAGAGAAGGGAGATTGGCATTTGTCGCGGTTTGGAAAAAAAGGGAGAAAACATGACAGAATAACTCGGCGGATATCGCATTTTGCGTAAAATTAAAAATTAGCTTTTCAATACCGACCAGATACAATACTGATTTTGGTGGAAACTAAATTTTTTTTCAAAATGGCGTTTATTGCGTTTTGGAAGCAAACTCTTCAATTATACATAATAATTAATTAACATTTTAATACAATCCTATAAAGGTATATATTATTTAAAGAAACTAAATTTTTTTAGCAACTTTTAACTGCATTAAATTGAAAAATGTAAATACATTTATAATGTTTGATGATCAAATGATTAAATACTGTACTTTTGAACTTTCTTTTCATCCAAGAGTCCTGGAAAAAATGTATCATTAAGCAGTTGCTTAATATATAAATAAAATATATTAAACAGGTGCCTGTTTTCAACATTGATAATAATAAAAAAAAAGTTACTTGAGCACCAAATCAGCATATTAGAATTAGTTTCTGAAGGATCATGTAACAGTAATTGCTGCTGAAAATAAAGTTTTGCCATCACAGCCATAAATGACATTTGTAAATGTATATTAAAATAGCAAATAGTTATTTTAAATTGTAATAATATTTGACAGTATTATTGTTTTTAATGTATTTTTGATCAAGTAAATGCAGCCTGAGTGAGCATAAGATACTTTTTAAAAAACATTAAAAAACAAATAGTAGTGTTTATAGCCTAGGTTCTCTTATTTGTAGATTTTTGTGTTGAATTTTTCACTTTTGCATGTTTTCATTTCCACAATTCACTTTTTCTCTGTTTCCCAGTCTGCCTCACTTTCCCTGAGAGGAATACTACAGCTCCTCAGGCAAGACAATGCTTCCACTCTACGGCGGAGACGCAGGCCTCGGTTTGTCCGCAGAGCTGTGCGGCGCCTACGAAGATGGGGCTTAATTCCTCGACCTGCCCCTAGGACGACACAGACCACCGCCTCTTCCTTCCAACAGACAGAAGCTGCTAATTCTAGCGCTGAGCCCAGCCAGTCAAGTCCTGGAGTCTCCTCAGTGGCTACAGGAGCAGCCAGTCAGTCCTTGCCTCAAAAACTGGCTTTATCCCAACAGACAGAAACACAGCAGCAAGCGGAGGCTCCTCCTCTTCCTTCTCCCCCACCTCCTTTCCCTGTCCAGCCAATCGAAGTCACTGAAACACAACAAACCCCACCTGTCACTGCGCCCCCAAGCAGCCCTTCCCTGGCATCTCTCTTCCACAGTCTGGGGTGGAGAATTTCCCGTTTCAGACCCTCCCCATCCCCTACTTCTCTTCCTCTCTCTGCATCCCCCTCTTTTTCCTCTTCTTCCTCTGAAGATGAAGTGCTGCTGATTCCTCTCTCTGATGACACAACCTCTGAAGATGATGTGCCCATGCTAACATGAGCGTCTCGTTCTTTCTTGTCCTTTTTGGTTCTGTCTGTTCATCTTTTTCTCGCTCTCTTGCCTTTCTCTTTTCAGCACGTGAGCGTTACCATGTTTGCTTCTAGTGCTGGCTTGGTGCCTTAACCTGTATTAGAGCATCTGTTTTCCTGACCTATGAGAAAAAGTATTGCATTAATGTGTGGCAGAAATATTTGACAAGCGACTGTTTGCGGACAGATGTGTTGGTTGTGCACTTATCTAAACTGTTGATAGGTGAACATTTGCACAAAGAGTCTGGCTTACGAAATGTTCCTCTGTGTGATCCTGTGCCGCGATGTTGGTTAAAAAGATTGATTTTAGTTAGAATAGCTTTTTTTTTTTTTTCTGCAGACATGGTTGTGTGATGTGCATACATGTGAGTTTACCTCATAGTGCTACAGGCCACATATTTTATTGTGTGTGTTCCTCAGAAGTGCCTTTGATTGAGCTTCCTGTACATCACTAGACAGTATGTGACTGCGTATGTGCTTGCACGTAGGGCCAAACACACTTGCACAAACGTTTACACATAGATGTAGAACTCACCCTCGCTATGTATATGGTAGTGCATGGCAACTGTGGCAATAACTTAATAATAAAGACACGTGTGTTGTGAGTGAGTGAGTGAGTGAGTGAGTGATTGTGTGTGTATGTGTTTATGAGAGAACGAACTAGCTGAAAGTGGTAAGCCACTCAGTTTAGACAATCCTTCTTGGGGGTTTCACTCGCACCTCCATATGCACCACCAACCTGAATGACATCACTATATCACAATAACTTGAAAATGTCTTAACATAATGAAAAATTTAGATTTCATACTTTTCTGGCTCAGTGGACAATAAATGGGGAACCAGTTGTAGTGCCATATCTATAGTCACATTGTTTCAACTGCTGGTATGATCTATCATTTCACTCCTTTTACCCTGTCGATGTTGTTTTTAATCTATGTATTTTTCAGTGCCGAAATGTTGGAACTCTCATCTGCTGAATGCTGATTGCATTAGAAAGACAGGTGGGAATTATCTTAATTGATGATGGTAGGATGAATTTCACTGTATATATTTGCTAAACCAGCTGGAAAATCCACAAAGATTAAATTGATTTGCACTTTTATTCTTCCTTGTGTGATTTAATGTGTCTACTTTAATGTCATGGTTTAGTTTCTTGTGTGTTTATGAAAATTGCTGTGAATGTAAAAAAAAAAAACGTAATCTGTAAAGTAATGGTGTATGCTGTCAACACAGATATAAAAATTTCTAGAGTAATTTTTTTTAGAAAGCTTAAGTATGTTCAGACAAGTGTTACAGGTGGAGAAGGTGACTATTCTATGAAAGGTGAAACAATGAGAGGTGATTGTCTTATTTGCACATAAAAGCCCGCATTGTTAGTCATTGGCTCAGTTTCTTTAAGTCCTGAGGAGGAATACCTGGTCGTTCTGCTCACAACAGAAAGAGACAAACAGATATGCAAGTTTCCTAGTTCACCATCTCTAAATACAAGCTGAAGGACTGATACTGTGCTGGTGAGAAATCTATTGATTATTTTTCTCTGTGATCAAAAAGTTTTTTTATGTTCTAAAGTACACTATTGTTAAAAACATTGTGGTCAGTAAGATTTTTTTTAAAGAAATTGTTACTTTTATTTAGCAAGCATTAATTTAATTTGATCAAAAATGGCAGTAAGACGTTTATAATGCTGGCATTTTTTATATTTAAGTCGTCTTTTGAACTTTATTCATCAAAGAGTCCTTAGACAAATGTATCACGATTTCCACAAAAATAACTGTAGCACAGCTTGATTCTACATTGATAATAACAATAAATGAATAAATAATTCATTTGTAAGTTGCTTTGGATAAAAGCGTCTGCTAAATCACTCCTTTTACCCTGTCGATGTTGTTTTTAATCTATGTATTTTTCAGTGCCGAAATGTTGGAACTCTCATCTGCTGAATGCTGATTGCATTAGAAAGACAGGTGGGAATTATCTTAATTGATGATGGTAGGATGAATTTCACTGTATATATTTGCTAAACCAGCTGGAAAATCCACAAAGATTAAATTGATTTGCACTTTTATTCTTCCTTGTGTGATTTAATGTGTCTACTTTAATGTCATGGTTTAGTTTCTTGTGTGTTTATGAAAATTGCTGTGAATGTAAAAAAAAAAAACGTAATCTGTAAAGTAATGGTGTATGCTGTCAACACAGATATAAAAATTTCTAGAGTAATTTTTTTTAGAAAGCTTAAGTATGTTCAGACAAGTGTTACAGGTGGAGAAGGTGACTATTCTATGAAAGGTGAAACAATGAGAGGTGATTGTCTTATTTGCACATAAAAGCCCGCATTGTTAGTCATTGGCTCAGTTTCTTTAAGTCCTGAGGAGGAATACCTGGTCGTTCTGCTCACAACAGAAAGAGACAAACAGATATGCAAGTTTCCTAGTTCACCATCTCTAAATACAAGCTGAAGGACTGATACTGTGCTGGTGAGAAATCTATTGATTATTTTTCTCTGTGATCAAAAAGTTTTTTTATGTTCTAAAGTACACTATTGTTAAAAACATTGTGGTCAGTAAGATTTTTTTTAAAGAAATTGTTACTTTTATTTAGCAAGCATTAATTTAATTTGATCAAAAATGGCAGTAAGACGTTTATAATGCTGGCATTTTTTATATTTAAGTCGTCTTTTGAACTTTATTCATCAAAGAGTCCTTAGACAAATGTATCACGATTTCCACAAAAATAACTATGTAGCACAGCTTGATTCTACATTGATAATAACAATAAATGAATAAATAATTCATTTGTAAGTTGCTTTGGATAAAAGCGTCTGCTAAATGTCTAAATGTAAATGTTTCTTGAGCATGGAATTGGCATATTACACTGATTTCTGAAGGATTATGTGACACTGAAGATTGGAGTAATGGTGCTGAAAATTCAGCTTTGCTATTAGGGATAAGTAAGGGATAATTCCTTCAGAGAAAGAAAAAAAACTAACCCTAAACATTTGGACGGTCGTGTTAATACTTAAATTTAGACTCGTTTCTTTTTCGAAGAAAATGTATTAAAAGTTTATTAGTTATAATTAGATTTAAGAAAATATGTCCAATACAAGTCTTTTTTATCACAGATTTTTACTTGTAATGTTAATATATTCTTAAGCATTTGTAAAATGTATTTTTTAAATTAATTGTGCTTTTCTTTGTCTTTTATACTATAGTAAATAATGCCTTTTGCGCATTGTGTTTGTATTGGCATATTACTGTTGCCATGGTTTCCATGTACTTGGGAGAAGTGCATCTTTGACCAAGTTCAGAGATCGATCAAAGTTGTGTCCCCGCCCACTGGTCAATACGCCTCTGCTCATTGGTCCTTGAGTGAAACTGCTTCAGAGGAGAATCCAGCGCCCCACAGTTCTAAACATCAAAGGCCTAAAAGAGCAGAGAGACTTGTGGAATCCATGACGGATCCACAACCAATCAGAATCAAGAGCTGGGTCCCCTCAGAAAGCCCCGCCCTCACAGAATGGGAGTTAGACAGGTTAATGACTGCAGTCGATGAGGCTGTGACCGAAGTTTCCAGTTTACTGTCAGGTGTGTGGTGTTTTAATATGAAGTACAGGCAAAACATGTCTAGTGAAACAGAAATTTGGATTTACCCCATTTTCTCTTCTTTAGTAACTTTGTGGATGTTTTTTTTCATAGTGAGGCGAGTTCAAGACAGTCTGCTGCTGAACAGAGACATAAACAAATACTGCAAATTCATCTGGAGAAACAGCAGCACTGTTAACCACATGAAGTATGTTTTACGTCTTCTCTGACTCTACTACTCTTTGTAGCTCTATTTGTTTGTTCTGTAAGTAGTAGTAGTATGAATTTTGATGTTTACTGATTTAAAAAATGTGTTATTATAATTAGTCAACCATATGTCATTCTCCTCAGATGTGGCAGGGCCAATGAGAACTACAGATTCGAGAGCTGCCTTAGCGTAATTGTGAGTCTTTTCATACATAAACACACATTACTCAAAATATTGCTCTTATTGCTCCGTCCGGCCTGTTTACAGATCCCAGATGAGCACCTGAATGGCTGTGCTGTTTATCCACATCCTGAGCATCCAGTCCGGACAGTGCTGAGGCCAGAGGGGACGGGAGTTCCTGACACTGACTTCCTGCTGTATGTGTTCACTCACAGCACAGATAAATGTCAAGCAGAGGTAGAGACTATCACTGGGATTTCTCTCAGATCTGTTGCCATTGTCATAATGTCTGTAACGTACTTCCATTTTTAAATCATGACAAATTTTGTTAAATCATGACTTGTTTTCCACAGGCAGGTAATAAATTCAAGTGTCCTTTATGAAAAAATGGTCTTCACTAGGGGAAAAAATAGTGAGTTTATTACGTAATATATGTAATATTTTTACCCCTCTGTCTCTTCAGTCTAGTATACTGGCTTATGCTGCTCACTGTCAGACAGACTCAGAGGGGCGTCCTCTGGCTGGGGCTATGATCATCTGTAGAGAGACCCTCAGTATGGAAAGATACACACATGAGCATTTTGTGCAGGTGACAGTGAATGTGTCTGACAAGAGTGAACTGTTGAAAAAACAGAAACATTGAGATTGCATTCGCTCTTTGTTATTTTGTTTTGGTACAGACAGTGATCCATGAGCTGTTCCACGTGTTGGGCTTCAGTAAAGAGCTCTTCAGCCGATGGAAGGATTGTTCTCTCTCCTCTCAGGGTATGTAACACTGCTTTCGTTTTTCTTAATGTTCTTTATGTAAATGAATAAATATCTATTAGTGTTATAGTGTGCATCGTAGCCCTGTTATGTTGTGCATTTACTGGTCATTTTGTCATTGTGTATGTGTTATGAAGCTGGCATAGACTGCTGGTCTCATGGTCATTTTGTCATTGTGTATGTGTTATGAAGCTGGCATAGACTGCTGGTCTCATGGTCATTTTGTCATTGTGTATGTGTTATGAAGCTGGCATAGACTGCTGGTCTCATGGTCATTTTGTCATTGTGTATGTGTTATGAAGCTGGCATAGACTGCTGGTCTCATGGTCATTTTGTCATTGTGTATGTGTTATGAAGCTGGCATAGACTGCTGGTCTCATGGTCATTTTGTCATTGTGTATGTGTTATGAAGCTGGCATAGACTGCTGGTCTCATGGTCATTTTGTCATTGTGTATGTGTTATGAAGCTGGCATAGACTGCTGGTCTCATGGTCATTTTGTCATTGTGTATGTGTTATGAAGCTGGCATAGACTGCTGGTCTCATGGTCATTTTGTCATTGTGTATGTGTTATGAAGCTGGCATAGACTGCTGGTCTCATGGTCATTTTGTCATTGTGTATGTGTTATGAAGCTGGCATAGACTGCTGGTCTCATGGTCATTTTGTCATTGTGTATGTGTTATGAAGCTGGCATAGACTGCTGGTCTCATGGTCATTTTGTCATTGTGTATGTGTTATGAAGCTGGCATAGACTGCTGGTCTCATGGTCATTTTGTCATTGTGTATGTGTTATGAAGCTGGCATAGACTGCTGGTCTCATGGTCATTTTGTCATTGTGTATGTGTTATGAAGCTGGCATAGACTGCTGGTCTCATGGTCATTTTGTCATTGTGTATGTGTTATGAAGCTGGCATAGACTGCTGGTCTCATGGTCATTTTGTCATTGTGTATGTGTTATGAAGCTGGCATAGACTGCTGGTCTCATGGTCATTTTGTCATTGTGTATGTGTTATGAAGCTGGCATAGACTGCTGGTCTCATGGTCATTTTGTCATTGTGTATGTGTTATGAAGCTGGCATAGACTGCTGGTCTCATGGTCATTTTGTCATTGTGTATGTGTTATGAAGCTGGCATAGACTGCTGGTCTCATGGTCATTCTTGTTTTCCACAGGCAGGTAATAAATTCAAGTGTCCTTTATGAAAAAATGGTCTTCACTAGGGGAAAAAATAGTGAGTTTATTACGTAATATATGTAATATTTTTACCCCTCTGTCTCTTCAGTCTAGTATACTGGCTTATGCTGCTCACTGTCAGACAGACTCAGAGGGGCGTCCTCTGGCTGGGGCTATGATCATCTGTAGAGAGACCCTCAGTATGGAAAGATACACACATGAGCATTTTGTGCAGGTGACAGTGAATGTGTCTGACAAGAGTGAACTGTTGAAAAAACAGAAACATTGAGATTGCATTCGCTCTTTGTTATTTTGTTTTGGTACAGACAGTGATCCATGAGCTGTTCCACGTGTTGGGCTTCAGTAAAGAGCTCTTCAGCCGATGGAAGGATTGTTCTCTCTCCTCTCAGGGTATGTAACACTGCTTTCGTTTTTCTTAATGTTCTTTATGTAAATGAATAAATATCTATTAGTGTTATAGTGTGCATCGTAGCCCTGTTATGTTGTGCATTTACTGGTCATTTTGTCATTGTGTATGTGTTATGAAGCTGGCATAGACTGCTGGTCTCATGGTCATTTTGTCATTGTGTATGTGTTATGAAGCTGGCATAGACTGCTGGTCTCATGGTCATTTTGTCATTGTGTATGTGTTATGAAGCTGGCATAGACTGCTGGTCTCATGGTCAGGTGACCAGCACAGATGAGATGGGCCAGGTTAGACTGTATTCTCCTACTGTGATCAGAGAAATGCAGAAACATCTCAACTCTACCCACCCTGACCTTGGAGCTCCGTTAGAGAACAAGGTACCCACTGCATACAAAACACTACTGTACCAGTGACATGGCACCGTAATGGTATCATCATGATCTCTGATATATACCATAGTACTGTATACATAGTATTTTTTTGTTGTTGTTGAAGTAATTTTAAATTGTAATAATAGTTTACAATATTACATTTTTTTCTGTATTTCAGATCAAATGCAACCTTTGGAAATGTAAAAGACTTCTTTCAGAAGTATTAAAAATCTTACCGACCCTAAACTTTTGAATGGTAGTGTAAATTGAGGCATTTACAAGGTACCCTAAGGTATTTAAATAAAAACATGTTACTACAATAACATGCAAATACCCAAACTTGTTGGCAAAAGCTATTTTCACTACTTCTGCTCACTGTTGCGTTGATATTATACTTTTAGTACAGAAAACATATTTCCATTTATACTTTAGCATCTGTATTATCTATCACTGTTCACACTTAGTGTGAACAAAATGCTATGTTGCTATTATACTTGGTATAAACAGTATCTATCACTCTGTGTAAATTGCATCTACCTTTCTTAATGTAAATAGCCGCTGCCTAATGTAAAACACAGATGATATACTCAAAGACATCCCCTCCCTGTCTTTCTTCCTCTCAGGATGCTGGTTCAGATGGTCTCTCGTCACACTGGGAGGCTCGTGTGCTTCAGGGTTCCATTATGGCAGCTTTACTGGTGGAGCCGTCACTGATTCGGATCGATCCCATCACAATTGCTGCCCTCCAGGACACGGGCTGGTATTCAGTGAACCTCAGTCGAGCTCAGAGCTTGGTGTGGGGAGAAGGTAAGACATACACTGTTGAGTCCATTCTGCTGGTTGACATGCATTAAGATAAATATTATGCACTTGTTGAGGCTAGAGTCAAAACTTGGACTTGCATGTCCACTGATTTACCATTCCTGGTGTGTTTCTGTGTGTTTTAGGTGAAGGCCATCAGTTTGGGTCTGTCTCTACCTGTCGCAATTCTTCTGCTTTCTTTTGTAAAGACAGGTAATCAAACAAATAATGCTGTTTTGAATAATCACAGGTATTTAAAGGAAGCTATATTTTGCAGTTTGTTTTTTTTTTGAAAGTGGGCTTGTTAAGAAACTGTGGCTTTTGTAAAGTTGTTAAAATATTTCTGAAAATTAATTTTTTATTTTATTTTTAGAGTAAATTGAATGAATGTGATGATAAACTGTCTTCGGTTTTCTTCCAAGTGGATTGGGTTGTCATTACCTTCACTTCCACAAGGGGGAGTGTCTCACTGATCAGTACCTGGATGGCTGCCACATTTTCAAACCCCTGGCTAATGCTGTGAGTCTGCTGTGTTCTGTTTAGTTCTATTTCTCTTTCACAAGTGTCTCACTTTGTTGTCATTATAACTAAACTTCACTTGTGATTTTCATGTGTAATGCCACTTTTCTTCATCAGAGTGAGTGCTGGAAAGAGGAGAATAAGAGGAGTGGAATGAAAGGGAGTGGAGAGATATATGGCTCAGACAGCCGCTGTTTTATATCCAACCTCAGCAGACTGGTGCCACATGTTCTCACATCTCACAAAAAAATATATAAATGTTTAAAGATGTCAAAGCTACAGTTTTACAATATTACATTCACTTTTAAAGGCTCTTTTAATTTTTTACAAATCTTTTTACCCTCCCTTTATTAGAATAACGTGACCGCTAGTGCACCAGTGGCAGGTCATTGTTACAGACACAGGTGCACTGGAATAAACAAATATCAAATTCAGGTGATGGATTCTGATTGGTTGGATTGTCCAGCAGGAAAGAGCATCGAGGTTAGTGAGAAACTCATTGGGATACGCGTAATGACTTAAACATTTAGTGTTTTTTTACATAGCACTCGACTGCCTTTTTATTTGTTATAACTTTCTGTCTCTAAATCATGTAGGTGTCTAGTTATCAGGGTTTCATTTTCTGTCCAGACAACAGAATATGTAAATATTCTGATTTAGCTCCTCCTACATCAAGACAAAAGGCAGATGACCTTCTAAATGCTGGCACATCCATTGAGAGGTTAGTCTAATCTTTTATTTTCAAATCTTAAATGTGTTTTATGTGCATCAAAATATGTCAACAGTTACAGAACTCCAAACACAACGTGTTTCTATGTCAGTTGATTGTCTCTATAAGTTATTATATCTTTTCTGTATAGTAGTGATGATGTGATGGAGAAAGACCGGTCCAGTCCTCATCCCAGCTTCATGCATCGCTCCTCCGTCACAGTGTCTGAAGCAGAGGTCATTGTGGCAGCAGTGCTGAGCATCATATCTGCTTTCTCTCTACTGTCTGCTGGATTGCTCATTTACAGGAAGTGTTTATCAGCCAGGGTCAGAGTACATGCTGCCAGTGAGCCTTCATACAGGCCACAGACGCCTCCCACCCAATGCATCAGAAGGAACTGATAGTAGAACCAAAAACTGTACAAATAATATGATTCAAAAGTTAAAATTAAATAAATAACAAAAAGATTATAACAAATAATTAACAAATGTCTTTTTTGGCTATGCATATATTAAAATATTTTTATGATGAAGATAGTAAAGGTGTGGTGTGTTAAATAGATTTTACAATAATCATAAACTTTCTTTAGTTCAGGTCAAGGTCCTTTGGTAAATCTAATGTGTGCACTTGAAAGATGATGGTTTTTCCTTGACTTAAACAACGTTTGCTCTCCGTTGAAAAACCAAAGATCATTTTAGAATATTTAAAGCTTTTTTGTAAAATGTATAGCTTATATAAAAAAATAAAGCTTAATATTAATTAATTGTAAAACATTTAATTGCTGTTGTTTAAACCATTAGCCCTTTTCTGCTTGCTTATTCAGTCATTCATGTACAGTACAATCAACATACCATTATTATTTAAAGTCTTGTAAGGCTTTTATGTGTACATACAAAAGTCAATGGACAGCAACGTGATCCTTAGAATTTATTCAGCCAACAAGATTACAAAAGTTTTCAAATGATGTGGTTACAGTATGAAGTAAATAAACGAGAGCAAAATCTAAAACAGCTGCAATCAAACAGGGATTTCAAGGTGTGGAATTTCTTTGCAAACTAGCAAAGATAATTTCCAAAGCCGTTTCTCAAACATTTCTTCTGTCTGCTCACTTTCCTCATTTTGGAAAAACAGGTGTCGTCATTCCAGACATGACAAGTTGAGCAAGATACAAGTCATTCCATTAACAAACAGCAATGCCTGGAAGCCAGTGCTTACACTCTTCATCCAACCTATAAATGCTTATGCATACTGAGATACAAGAAATGATTTTTTTTTTCTACGATTTGTACTTTATTGTTTTTCTTATTTGGAAATAATAAATAATATAAACAGTCATGTACTTGACATATGAACAAACCACTAAATCAGAACAGAATGAAACAAACAAAAAAATCATAAAGCAAAATAGTCAGTACAATGGTAATATGTGACCCTGGAGCACAAAACTTAAGTCTTAAGTCGCTGGGGTATATTTGTAGCAATAGACAACAATACATTGTATAGGTGATTATTATCGACTTTTCTTTTAAGCCAAAATCATTAGGATATTAAGTAAAGATCACGTTCCATTAAGATATTTTGTAAATTTCCTACCATAAATATATCAAAACTTAATTTTTGATTAGTAATATGCATTGCTAAGGAGTTCACTTGGACAACTTTAAAGGCAATTTTCTCAATATTTTGATTTTTTTGCACCCTCAGATTCCAGATTTTCAAATAGTTGTATCTCGGCCAAATATTGTCCTATCATAACAAACCACAATGGAAAGCTTATTTATTCAGCTTTCAGATGATGTATAAAT